ATTGTGGAAGTGCAATTTTTTTCACCTGGGTGCTTTTATGCATACATTTCCATACAAATCACACTGCATGAATTCATTCAAAATGCCACCTTGTAAAATAATTATGGTTTCTGATGAGATTGGGTTGGACTGACAGTCTATCCGGAATGAGCAAACACAGTGAAAAGTCAAAGGTCTGTATATCAGCACTCTCTAGGCCAATCAAACTCAAGGACCAGAACTAACTGCTGACCTACACCATACACGACACAGCAAACATAAAACTCAGCATTTAACTCCTCATGTAGCTGATGAAAAAGTAAGAACTGAGTGCTTATAACATGTAAAAGTGCACCGACGGAGGTGCAGCCTCTGTCTATGAGGATGGTCATGAAATATGCAGGAGAAAGCCATCACAGAACAAGAAGCCATTGGAGCCTTGTGGCTTTCTGAAATATTCATAAGACCAAACAGAACGCTCCTTCTTTTAGCTCAAAAGTTTATAAACACCACACCGGAGAAAGAGACACAATGTATAAAAAAAGACCGGGATGCACATCAATCTTCCCGTCATTGCTTCCTATCACTTCACCTCTTCCACTTTGTTCCCTAAGAAAAGATACTTCAGAAAAGTACTCAAAGAGATATTTTAAAAGTTAGTAGAAAGTAGTTTAGCTGCTTTTACTGATCCAAGAGTAGCTTGAACCCGAGGTAGAACCATAATGAGAGGACAATTTCCTGACTTCACCATCATAGTGTAGTTTTCTGAAAATGAAAGGCAGGAAATGGATCTTGCTTCAATTAGACTGCATGTACATTAGTGCCAGCTAGACTACACATCCACATCATCATCCGTTATCATCAGTTATCATCAAACACTTAAGCCTGCATCAGAGCTGAATGACAGTAACTACATTACGGCTGCCTCCTGGCCTTTATAGATTCAATTATATTTTTTATTAGCAAATCGACATGCAGATTTGCAGTGGATTGGATGTTTCTATTGTTTCCAACAATTCTATTGTTTCAAGAGTCTTTCCCAGAAATGGGTTTGCTCATTTATCTCGACTGGAACATAGAGAGCATGATGGGACGAAATTCATTGGCGGCGTCTCAAAAACTAGTGAGCCGCCTACTCAGACAGGATTTTTGGGGACCATCGGTACATTGAGACATTATGCAGTGCTTCCATTGGTTTTCCAAAGGCAGTGCCAAAAGCTTGGTGATTACATGAGTATGTGATAATAACTGCATTTTTCAAGTCTCAAGTGCTAACTAACATCATGGGTCGCTTTTTCCCCAATGCCTTTGGTTTGCTCATCTGAGATTTGTAAGGCACTCCCTTGTGAAATATAAGTACGCTTCTATTCAAAGTGCACTTATAGTGTACTTCAAAATTTAAAAGTAGGCTATATTTAAAAGAAAAATACTTGCAGATAATATTAATGAAACAAAAAACCACTTAAGTGTACTTAAAGAGTGTACACTTTCATAACTGCTTCTTTACAGTGCAATGTGTAATAATGTCAAATTAAGAGTTTTGCTTCAAATCAATGTTTCAATATTTTTTGCTGCACTTTACAGAAGTACGCTTATTTTGATATTGACTAACATACTAAATCACATGTAGAGTACTTGATCATCATTTTAACTCTAGTGCTATTTGATATTTTAAGTTCATATATTTGAAATGTACTAAACTGCAACTTCATCATTACAAATGAGTCATTACAAATATATTTAAATGCATGACAAGTTTCAACAAAAACGACATTAAAGAATATTCTAGTTTATAAATGCAGCAGCACACTTTAACCATATTTCAAAGACAATATAACTAATTACTAAATTACAAATAAAGACGTGCTAACGTCCTACTTAAGTGAGTAAAAAAACTTTGTTCAACTAACTGTATTTAACATTAAATTTATATTAAAAAATTCATATAATTTTAAATAACATGCAATTAATTGTCCGAAAACTGCTAAGAATATCACTTAAGTATATTCCTTTAAATCGTACTGTACCCATTATTCCCATAATTAGTATTACAATTATGGTAAAGTGTACACTCTAAAAAATGGGTTGACCCAGCGGTTGGGTTAAATGTTTAAATGTTTAACCCAGCCTTCTGGGTAGTAACCCAACCGCTGGGTCAAAACAACCCAATTGCTGGGTTTGTCCCTATTTTACCCAGCACTGGGTTGTATTTAACCCAGCATTTTTTAGAGTGTAGCTACTTCTTTTTCACAAGGGTTAAAACGGCTTTGAAACACTGTTGCTTGATGTAAACAAAAGTGACTTGACTTTACAAATGAAACGGACAGTTCCCACAGCAAACTGTTGTCCGTCACGGACTTTCTCAGCAATCTTTCATCACTTAGAAAAGAAAAAAAGATACATCAGCGCATGAGACACATGGAGGCTTTACAGTCTTAAAAATAAAGGTGCTTAAAAAGGTTCTTCACAGCGAGGCCATAGAAGAACCATTCAGAACCATCTTTCTTACCTTTTTAGAATCTGAAGAACCGTCTTTCCCCACAAAGAACCTTTTGTGAAACAGAAAGGTTCTTCAAGGTTTTAAAGGTTCTTGAACCATTTAGACAACAAAAAAGGTTCTTCGTGAAGCACCTTTATTTTTAAGAGTGTGCGTGCTGCCTTACATCATGTTCTCCGCTCCCCAAACACCGCAAATTAAATTACACCGCGTTAAAACAGCCAACAGGCTTTCGCCAGTTCCATTTTGCGCAATTCTGTTATTTATCAACGAAACGCAGTTTGTGTATGACTCTTTTTTGTGTACTAAGAAAGTCAATTAAGGGCGTAACTGTTTAACAGGCAATACAGTGATCCAGGCAAACCCTGACGAAAGCGTATTCACTCCCTAGACGTCTTCCACCTAAACAACCCTCAAAGAGGCCAGTCTGCCCGTTTAACACGATGCATTAATAACAAGCGTCATGTCAATGAATCGCAATACAGAACTGCGCGCGCGCTTACCTGGATGCTGCACGCGATCTCGGAGTCGTCGAGCAGGCGAACCGTGCACCGGACCTCCTGCGCGAGGGAGGAGATGCTCGGACTCCGGAACCGAAGCATTTTCATGGCTCTGGGTCCCGCATCGCAAAGCAACAAAGCTCCTTTGGTCTGGGTGTCGGTTGCGCGTCGCCTATGTCGCCAGCGGAGAGGAGGAAAGAGAGATGTCGCGTTATATGATCGGGAGAACGATCCCCCTTTTCGCTTCTCTCCCCTCCCTCCCTCCTGAGCTCCCTCCCTTCCTCCATCCCTCCATCAGTTCAATCCCTTCCCTCCCTCCTGAGCTCCCTCCCTTCCTCCATCCCTCCTTCAGTTCAATCCCAGCAGCTTCACCTGGAATGAGCGTCTACACACAACGCGAGTTACAGTACACTCTAACAAATGCTGGGTTAAATACAACCCAGTGCTGGGTAAAATAGGGACAAACCCAGCAATTGGGTTGTTTTGACCCAGATTAAATGCTGAACCCAACCTTCTGGGTAGTAACCCGACCGCTGGGCCAAAACAACCCAATTGCTGGGTTTGTCCCTATTTTACCCAGCACTGGGTTGTATTTAACCCAGCATTTTTTAGAGTGTACGGGTTCTGCCAGTCAATAGTTACTACTACTATTTGTGCTACAGCAATACCATAATAAATTAAAACGGGATGGAACTTTTAAAGTAAAGTGTTTATTTATTTATTTATTTGTTTGTTTGTTTTCACGGTGGTATAATGAAATATAATGTGAAGTGGTATGCTTAGTTTTGTTGTAAAATATTGGAATGTTTAGAATGTTGCTGCATATTAAATAAATAATAAAAACGAATAGCCTAATAATAAACGATCAGAACACCTGAAATTTGAAGTGTGATTTTTAGACCTAAAATAACAAGCATCAAAATAAATAGATCTGAAAATGTCATGGAAATGTTTATAATAAATATGACTTAAACGTATTTGAATGGTTTTTAAAATCCTTATCAATTAATCCTGATAATTTCTGATTTTTAGACAATGCCAGTGTCCGAATTTGTGGGTAAAATGGGAAGAATGTGTTAAATGAATAATTCAAGGAATCATTCATAAAGATTCATTAAGACTTGTCGCCACCTACTGGTGCAGCGATGTAACCCGCAGACACATTTCCAGCACTGATGCAGATTAACAGACTGTCTGATATGACACACTACACGAGTAAATTGTGAGAAACACTAATGAACATGAATGCAATATTCTTAAGAAGCTTTCTAAAGTCCTTTTTTAGGCGAACGTGTGTAATGCATCCAAACGTCTTGTATATTGGACATCAATTTTCACTGAAAAATGAAATAAATCTACAATTTTTTATTATTTTTACATTGTAAAATATTCATATAGCATTATATGTACACGTATAAATATATTTCTGATTTAAAAAAGTGAAATATAATTTGTATTGTATTATAGTAAAATTATTTTAAAAGTTAAAAAAATATTAAAAAGGATACATATAAATATAATTTATCATGCAGATTCTTTCAGAATCTGGCTTTGTGATTTATCGTTTTTATAGTTAACATTAACAATTTTAGTGTTGTAACAACTGTTGTACCAGTTATTCCTTTAACAGAAGAGTTTTACTTAAAGCATATAAGCCCATATTCATGTATATTTAACCTCCATTAAGACATTTGAAAACATTAACAACATTAACATTAACAAATGAATTACAAAAGTACATTGTACCTTCAGTGTGCCTTTAAAATTTTAATCCCTAGACTGCATGAGACATGAAGTGTAAAATGTAATTAGATCAGATGTAAAGTGACAAAACGGGTCAACTTCAAGCATAACCTCTAAATTTAATCAGTGCTTTTGTTCTCAAGTACATCCTGCTCGAAGTATTATGGATTTATTGAGTGAAGTAAATGGACTGAACACTGTCAATACATTCATTACCTAAAAACATAATACTTGGCAAGAATGAAATAACAGTTAGTTTCAAGCATAAACAACCAACACACTTTGAAAAAGTAGATTAGCATGTTTATTGAAAAGAACTCAGGATTGTATGCCTTTGATTCACAGTGCAGAGAACAGAAGTGGATTTATTCTACAGAGTAGAAGCAGATCTTCTGTTCACTGTGATCAGGCTAACAGAACTATGCAGTAATAAGCAGGAGTGTGTGAGTGACGGTGGTAGTTTGGTTAAGAGAGTGTGTGGTGTTTCGAACAGATATTAAAGACATTAGCAGCTTGACAAAGGAGCTGAAACATTCAAGCTGTCTGTCCTCTAACGTGCATCTTCATACGTCCCCCCCGTCTGATGCTTTTTTACCCTTCCGGTTCCCCTGAAAAAAAGGAAATACAAAACAATGAATTGAGATAGTGATGTCATGCTCGTTTTTCACTGTAGGATTTCTTAAACTGGACCAAAGTTATGCTCTTTAAAAAAATCTTTATCTGAAGAAACATTGCCGTAAAACTCTGTTGAAAATTAGAAATGTCTATTTGCTGGATGATTACGTTTTATATTTTGAAATTACTGTAATGCAAAGAAAGAAAAGATTATTAGTGTATTTATTTATTTATTTATACAACAGTTCTTCCTGGTCCTTGAATATGATTGGCTGATAAGAGTGCAATCAGAGCCGATCCTCCCTATACGCAAAGTACGCAAGCTGCGTAGGGCCCCCGAAACACCAGGGGGCCCCCTTGCTCTCAAAGATGATTTAATTTTAGTTTTGTTTTTGAATTTGGCCAGTTTGGTTATGAAAACCGCTTATGCCATTTCTTTTAATGCGGTGCGCTGTCGCCCTTTCTACGTAAAAATCAGTCAAATCATGTAACGTGAATGTTATACAGTGTCTTACTCGAGACAATAAAAAAAAAAAAAAAAGAGTTTAAAGCGTAAAGGGACACGTTTCTCAAGCGGACAAAGGCGTTTCATTCACTCATAACTCATCATTCATAACCCTTGGACTTCAAATATGGGGTTTGTTAATAAAGACAACGTCTATTTGAAAATTTGCTTCAACGTTTTCGAGAGATATGAACTCCAGAGCGTCAGCGCTCACAAACCCGCGGAGAGAGCGCCTCACCTCGGCCAGATCTTCTAAACTTTACCGCAGGCTCTGATGTCTCTATAGTGGTTAAACTTGATATAATTTGTTTTGGGTAGGGCTGTCAGTTTAACACATTAACTTAATTAATTAGTTATGAAAAAATAACGCGATTAAAATATTTTAACGCAGTTAACACACTGGCCCCGCCCCCAGACCTGTACATCATCTTACACTTCATATAGTTGACTGTTGACAAATATGATGCAGGGCAACAACTCCATAAATGCAGTTATGCCCTAAAATTCAAGATATTGGTGCAAAAAATTCCCCTGTACGAGTTTTTGTCTCATATCATGTATGACGAACCGACAGACCCGTTCCGAAAATTTTCGGTACGGGTCTTTCGGTTCAGTACGCACGTGTACCGAACAAATCATTAAATTTTTTCAGGAAATTCAGACAATAAATGCCATTTTGACACTTTTTGATGAGGCGTGACAGCTCGCTGTGTAAACGCCTTATTTCACAGCAGAGCGCGATCATCCCTTCATCTTACTCCTAGTTTTAACGCGAAATAAACGAGAAATAACATCTCATGGCCCATGTGATCGCACAATCAGTGTTTCACTCGCGGAAAGATGTGATTAAAACGGCTTGCAAACAAACTGTCACGTAGCATTTCATTTACCTCGGGCAAGTCATCAGTGTCTACAGCTCGTTAGTTCACTAGACTCACAAGTCTAGAGCATTTCGCAAAATATTAGACTATATAGCTACTCATTATATTTTACTTTACCTGTTAGTGATATCTTAATCATTTAATTTATATTTAAATAAATCTTTTATGAAACAAGTTATGACAGCCACAGTGTAAATTATTATATTTCATTATACAACAGTTCGTTCTGGTTCTCAAATCTAAATGGGTTGAGAACCGTGAGATATTGTACTGGTATCGCTTCAGGAACGCCCTTTCACAATTTTGTATCACTCCGCTTGTTCTAGCCGGGTCTATGTTTTTTACATAGTACGTTACGTTAATATAAGAAGAAACATCTAACTTCGCGGTCTCTCTCTCTCATTTGGATGCACGTCTTGCCGCATTGTTTCTCTCTTATAACCTCATTATTTCTCACTAATAACCTAACTGAAGCAGCACATGCCCTTGATAC